GAAGAATGGGATAGGTTACCCCAGGAAATGCTGGATAACTTGATCCTCAGCATGCCCAGAAGGATCTTCGCATGTATTCGAGCCAGGGGAGGAGTTATTTTATATTGAATTCACACCTTTTAATAATAAATTGTTGTTTAAGTTTAATTAAACAGTCTTTTTCTTTCTATGAAATTTCTATCACTATTACATTATGATTAATGGCTCAATTTTTTAAAATAAATAATAAAAAATAATTTTATATTTTAATTTCAAACAGGGTATTCCTATTTAAAGAAAGCATACAACATAGATTTTTTCTTGATAAAGTTAAATTTAAAGAATTATAGGAGCTTATGCTATTTATTGATCGCAAACTTTTTTTGATGTGTGTACTTCAATTCAAATAACGCGTGTCTTAACTTATCATTATTGACGTATTCACTGATCATGCTTGTGATCAGCAACACATAATTGCATAAGAGATAGCTGAGATACAAGAGTTAATATAATGTATTTCTAAAAGTGTTCATACCAAACCATAGTACTCAATTAATAACCAAACTTATCTACAAATTTTAAAACCCTAAAGATCTCTACTTTTGTACTTAGGTACCTACCTAATGGCAGCACATGAACAGCTTTAGAGTAAATTTTTCAATTATTCGAAAGTTGCTTATTTCATCTTGCTACAATATCATTGCTGATGACATTTGGTTATACATAATGCTTCCGTTTTTCCTATTATCCACATGCAAAGCTCCGTAGATACCGATCCATATCTAGAAACATTTTTGCAAAATTTTCTGGATATCTGCAAGACAAGACATCTCTGTACGCTATAGGTAAGTGTTCATTACGTTACTTAACGACGGCAGCCATCATAACGTATTCACGAGAAAGCATGCACGAGAAATACGCAGAAGACGCGCGACATCATTTTTGGCTCATATTTAGTTTGTACATTACACAATTAACCATAAAGTTAATTACGATATGTACAAAATCGTTACAAAAATTCGCTTCCATTCCCTTCCGCCGCAATATAAATTGAGCCTCAGTGAATTAACCCATGTACGGCATATTTCTGGACTCCCGTAATGTATGGGGTTTCGCCGACAGTCCACCACACTGACATGGACGTTTAAGCTCTTCAGGTCCTAGAGAGTTTTCTTCTCGGACATGCAGGATATTTTTCTATCTAGCGATAATTAGTCATCGTAACTGCAGAATATTCGAAAGGTCTCAGTGGTGCAGGCTCGAACTCGGGTCGCCTTGCATGGAAATTTTCCCTAAAAAACGGAAATGACCCATCTAAGTATTCTTCGAACTAGGCTATTAGGTTATACCTCCCTATACTATTATAACTTGAAAGTGCTTCATATGCTCGTTATGCCGTTCTTATGGAGAGGCTGGCTAGGGTTGGGTACACCCTACCAGTGGGCGCAGTCCGGCCCACTGACCTAATTTCTCCGGCCCCAGATTACCGGTCCAGCGGCGGCGTTTACCATAATCCGATCAATTTCCACCATCCGCGCAGAAAGAAACAAAGACTATATAAGCATTTTAATCTTTTTAACTTAGGTGTCTAAACAGGGCCAGGTCTGTCATACGGTATGGATGACAATGACAATCCGTGATGACAGTGATAGATGTACATGCTTTTCTTAGTCTAAGTAATAGTTGCTGGGTACCAGTTTGCAAACAAAAAGTAAAATATGACGTAACGTATGACTGCACAATGTACTTTTATGCAGCTGATGTGTAGAATAAGAAATATATTAAATTAAATTTGAAAAATGTATGTGAAAGTGGGTTTATCTGTTGAGGAATATTGTTTCCAGTTTACTTTTGATCACCTGGGTGGAAACATAATTTCCCGATGTTGAAAAATAGTTGAAGATTCACAAAACTACAACAAAACACTTCAATGTCGTCCGTCCATAACATAACACAGTATTTGTGTTAGCTCTCAAGTGAAGGTATCTTATTATCGCTTTCGAATTACTTGCATTTTTGAAGTACTATGTACTTGATATACATTAATGTACCATACGTTCCGTTTAAAATTCCGCCTTAAAGTATCTTTATCTGTAAATCGACATATTTACTTAAATTGTACCTCACTCAGCAATGTTGCCGTAGATTATAGAGGAAGTATTTACAACTCAGGACATGTCGCACATAGTGACTACAACTTAAGAGTCTCTACTACCTCAAATGGCTTTGGTTGATTCCGCGTTCTAGTGAAAGTGTTGAATCAATCATTTTGGAAGAAATACATAGTAAAATTGAGGATATACACTGACCACTAAACGGCGTGAAAACACGATTCCCAAAAATTTTCACCATAGAAAGGAAAACATAAACTTATCACAGAAATTTTACAAGAAAACCGCTGTATTCAATAGGTATTGTACATATACCAAGAATCGTCTTTATATCAACTGAAGTAAGTAGAACACTATACGATATACATTTTTCAAATGGCTTTAATTTCGTTTGTAAAAAATGTCATCTGAAATAAAGATAGTGACCCTGCCGGTCTACCCACGCAAAATGAACGGGATTAGTGATTAGAACGGGAAACATTTGGTTTCGAACTGAAGTACTATATAAAAAAAAAAATAATAATGCACACACTCAACATAGCCCCGCACTAGGGAAATCCTGTGTCGCGGGTGCTATGGACACACACATAGACAACCACAAATTACACCAAACTCACGATAGAAATAAATGTAGGCCATACAAATATTTCTCCCGGCCCGGGAATCGAACCTGGGACCTCACAGTGGCAGTCCGGCATGGTAACCGTTCGGCCACGGAGGCAGTCAATATAGACTCGTAAGAGCCAGCCACAACTTGGATTAAGGTTGCAGTCTTACAATTTCATTTCGTACAAAATTAAGTTTAATCCCATTTTGGATAATAACAGCTGGCTTTTAGTTTCTTCTTAAACAAGAAGTTTTAAAAGTTTTTAAGTATTAAATATATGTATGGAAAGCCACTATAAAGATTTTCAAAACTATGGTAGGGGGACAGTAATCGCTTATGTAAATAATTACACCCACGAGTACACTGTAATATACCTGCAGCACGACTTAAATTATTACTAAAGGCCCAGTTGCCTCATCATTAATAAGTACTTTATTAATTTTTCCCAAATAAGTACAACAACAATGACAATTATTGTCTTAATGAAAACAAAGTATCTTTGAACCTAAGTACCTACTCCTGTAAAATAGGACATAACATGAATTTTAAACAGGCGATTTATAATTAGACTTCTTTCAAGCAACCTACAAAATACGCGAAAAGGTGACAAATATATCAGTTGAAGTCAAGAGAACATAAATGAAAATGGGTACTGCACGTATGGGTATTACTTATACATAATTATTTCAATAATAAGGGTAAGTAATCTCAGTACAGAGTACTAAAAAAACAGACCTCAAAAGTCGCAAAGCAAAAAATTCCCTAGTTTTCCAACCTTAGAGGTGGAATATTTTCTTAAAATGGGACCACTATAGTACCCTCTTTACAACAGCAAAAAACACCAAAATCGGTTCACAAATGAGTTTGCGCGTAACATACATACAAAAAATAAATTAAAAAACGTATAGTCGAATTGAGAACCTCCTCCTTTTTTGAAGTCGATTAAAAAGTACATATATGTACAATTGAATATAGTGAGTAAAAGGCGGGTTACCGTCTACGTTTGTACGCTTATTTGACAATAGCCCTATATGGCCTTAATAAACCACGCAATCTAAATACGACGTACGCTCTGCGCAGCAAACAATAGATTGTAGGTAAATGCATAAGGACGTGCATTTGTCTCCACTTTACCATTATACCGTAATTGCGCAATTGATAACTCGGATCGCCGGTGACCGTGACAACCTGGACGATTAGTCACATTAGCATTCTTACTTAAGTTTTGTATTGAAGAGCCTGGATATAGGGTTAATTACTATTCACGTTATAGAAAACATTACTACCACAACGATCGATTATCGAGTTCGAGATATCGAGTGAGTATGGCTGCTTCCCGTACCTACACAAACCTCTCTTTCCGTATTTTAGGATAAAAAACATTTTTGTCACTCTTCTATACGAGTTTCAAGAAAATATATATTTTTTGCTTATTTTTTTTTCTTCACGTAAGTGTTGTTAATTATTGTTCATCCGAGCACTAGCTCGTTTGATTTATCTGAAACTATAGATGGGGTGGGTTTTTATACGGAAGTTTTGAAGCTATTGGTGTTCCATTAATAAATTAAAGAAGTATTTATTTCACCGCTGTATTTAGGTATATTATTTAATTTGTAGCTATCGACCATTAAAGATTTTTTATAGATGCCCACCGCTTTTTCGAAGTTTTGTACAGGATTACAGCTGATTAGCTGCAATGGAAATCAGTATCTATCATATGCAGTCTCATAACAAAAAAAAACACGACTAGAGTGCGTAGTTTCACCAGAGGGAATGTTCCTGTTGCAAAAGGCTTACGAGCTGCGAACATGAATTACGTAGCGCGATCTTGTCATGTACCAGCTGCGCGTAGCGCGTGAACAGCGCGTGGACACCGCTAGCGCTCCCTCTACCCGCACATTACCTCAGGACTCAGTTAGTTCATTATTGGAAAACCTTCTTTGCCTAACACATCTTCAATTAAAATTATCTGATTGTAATTTAAATCGCAAGCGCGGAAAACCCGCATCAAGCACGTGTGGAACGCGCGCATTAAGTGAGGCTTGAGTGAGATATGATTACAGAGGCGTACCTAACTGCCCGCGTGCAAAGTGCACTATCAACAGATCTCAACACATCCAAATTGACAAGCTGGCCCTTAAATGTAAAATGTTTTAGTATAAAGCATTTATAGACAGTGAGCACTGATTTTAATATCATCAGTATCGATTGATTACAAGAAAAATATATTAATATTTACATAATTATACTATATATTTATTTTTTATATATTTATATAAATGAAACAAGTACATGTTTTACACAGTTTATTGAGCTTTTTTGCCTATGACGAGAGCGGCGGAGGCTTTGACAACATCGCCTCCAGATGTGAGCAGTTCTTTATGGCAATCTTCGAGGGCAGCTTGCCCTGCGGTCGTTTTCACCCTCATCACTTTGATGGCGTTGTGGACATTCCAATCGCTCAACTCCAACGCTTCTAAGTACTCTTCTGGTGCTGCCTGCTGGTTGAATGAAAACAAATACTATTTTTATTATACGCAACTGAATCCTAAATCGACACCAGTATTCGGCCAAACCGCTTGTCTATTTCTAGCCATGATCGCGGCAAATGGTAAATTTAGCCAAAAATGATTATAACTCGTATGAATACGTAATATGCTCAGCTTAGGTACAGCACACAATATGCAGTTACTCAAAATAGCTCATCGCGAATCTAGCGTCATACCCGTAAACTTGGCTCATTTATTCATCACTAGCGAACGCTTTGGCGTAGTTATGGCTACACGCTCAATGACTAACACTTACGTACATACATATGTATGTATAAACGTCACCAACCATCATTTAAATTGAAGTTTTAATTTTATTTAGTTTAGTTCAATAACACTTGGTTTCGCATTGATGTCAATAATGTAACCTATGTATTTTAGTACCGAGACGGTGACATAAATACATACACATTAAAACCCTTTCCCTATTGAAGTAGACAGAGACGACAACCGTAATAAATAAAAAGTGGCTAAAAAAATTCACAGTGACAAGGTTTAGTATTACACTAGATCATTATACACAAAGGTCATTATTACTTCAATTTTTAAGCAGACCTAGGCTATGTGATTCATCTATAGGTTCCGTAGCCTCTACGGTGAATCGTGAATCGCAGCGTCTTTCTATCTGAACTATGGAACTTTGCGTACCTTTGGCACACGTGGTACGCAAACTAAGCTATTCTACTGTATTTTTTTTTTCTGTAGTCAGAACTCTGTAGATGACATTGGACAACTTTCAATTTTCTTAAAAATTGGGAAAAAGTAATTATGACCTGTTTACCCCAGAACATCAAACCTTTTCAATGTGAACTTTTTAATTTAAAAATGCTTTTAACTACTTCTTGCTTATTGAGGCTGTGGTCTCTGAAGAAATACAACTCGCTATTGAATAACATGTAGTATAATCCAAGCTGGGCAGTAATAGAATTGCTTGTAACAGAAAAAAGGAGTACTAAAACTCTTATTTGGTATTTACTACCTAAAAATGTATTTTGTAATTGATAATACTTTCGCTGTGTCCAGTTTGTAATAATTATTGTAGTAATGTAGTAAAGTATTTTGTAATTTATGAACTAAAAATAATGTAATTAATATGTTTAGCACATATTTTGCACAGTACAGTAATAAGTACGTCATTTACAAATAAGGCTATCCGCGCAAAAGTGGTGTAACCCGCATCAAATTTTTTTTCTACAAGTATTAATTTAAATTATATATTATTATTTTATATTTAACTGCCAATTTTCGTGTATACAAAATTAATACACATGAAAATAGCATTCAAATATAAAATAATTATGTACTTTAGTATCATTTATAGGAAAATTTAAGAAAATAAAAATGTGGGTTGTAACCTGTACCACTTTTGCGCTGGTAGCCTGTTATATGGACTCATTTATTGTTAATGTTATGTATGTTAATGTTAACATACTTTTTTTAAATCTTTATTCAGTTTTAGGACTTTTGTTCTAGAGAACATGCCTGTCCTATCATAAACCTTATTCTAATTGTCATGCTATTCACAGTAAAAATTATTTTGTATATTATTATTACATTAAAAGTTTGAAGTTAACTAATTCTGATTTATCACGTCACACAACATTTTTGTATATTTTGACAAGGGTTCAGACAGAATCCCTTGAAAGAAGTTAATGTTGGTGCAGTTCAATTTTAATAAAAAGATCAGTAGTTGTCGATGGTCTTCGTTTTTTCTTGGTATATAAATGCTAATAATGTGTTACTTTAGGACCTTAACATAGAGGTGTTAGTATTACATATACACAACACTTCACGTCCTATTTTTCGGAGTAGGCAGAGACCACAGCCCTCCACTTGTTGGCATACTTTTGATATTAACGTCCGTGTTGCTTATAGATGAAATAATTTCGTGGAAATTCAAAATCATGGCGAAACGTAAATACGTACCTTTTGTTTAAGCACTTTGCACATAATCCGGACTTCATCGGACTCGACCCCACGTTGGCGGCCGCAGGGTTTTTGGTCTGCAAACTCCAGGAGATCCTCCACTGACACGTGATCTGTGCAGTCTAAAAAGAAGTACTCCTGTATCACTATAATATAATCTGCAGAATTACTTGGCTTACCTCAAAGGTAGGGAGAGATAAAGGACCTGAAATCACTATTTTGGAATGTTGATTTTTTTTGAAAAACATTACTTTAGAATGCTAAAGATCACGCAATGGCAAAATACATATTAGTCATATCATCGTTTGTTTCTTTAACATATTTTAATTGACCTTAAGATCGATTCTAAGATTCTCATTCATTAAGAGCCTCATTCTTTTTAGAACTTGTATAATCGTCGTATTCTAGAACTCTACTCAATGCTCAAGTCAGGATTTGAGTATGGTTTAAAGCACTCGAAATCATACTCAAGTTCCGGCCATTAAGGTCGTATTTCCAGTGCTTGAAATTATACTCAAATCCTCCCTTGAGCATTGAGTAGAGTTCTGGAATACGACGCTTAATCTCTCACCTGCAGACGTTGGTACCAAGGCGCTTACCTTTAACTAATGAACCCTCCTGAAAATACTGTTCACCTTCCACCTTCGCGTTGTCCTCAGTCTCAGGATCCTCCAAAGGCTCCAAGTAGCAACTAAATGGATTCACTGAGCTGGATGATGAAGAAGCAGCATTGTTTGTGAATGGATTAGTGTCGACTTTCAACGTGTCAGTGGCATCCAAAACGTCTACACCATTCTTCTCATTTTGAATTTGAAGTTTCTCTGTATTATATTTTAATGTTGCACAATTTGTGTTCTGGTATATGTTAGATCGAACTGTTTGTATGTTTAGGATTTCGTTGCCTGGCGTTCGGTCCAGTAACGTGTTTGGCATTTTGAGAGGATGTTTGCGTACGTGTCGAGGCTTATCCACTAGTTTCGGCTTTGTAGTTCGTGGCGGTAGAGGTAACTCGTTCTTAGACTGAAAACATAATTATTGAACGAATAAATAAATGTGCAGACGTAACCGAACTAGACATAACACAATGTCTTTCATACAAACATCGAACAAAACGAAAAATTACTTCGATTTCATAGATTTCTCACAGATGGCTTTACAGTAAAACAGTCGTTCTAAACCAAAAACAAAGATCTGCCACAAGCACGTAGGAAGATTCGTAAGATCTACAGATTCGTTCCGTACCTCATTTGGGAGGTCGTCGGCACGGTATGTTCAAGACGCTGCACTATGGGAAATAGTAGAACAACGGCGTGTTAAAAATGGTTTTGACCAATGTCTTACTTGAAATACACATTTAATTTTATTTCATAGTTTAGATGTCATACTTTATCATAATGATTTTATCATTTTTATGTTAGATAGGTATGTTGATTTAATAAAAATACACCCAAAATGTCCTTTCCCGTACTTATCACATTGTGCCGTACAATTTTGGAACTTTCGACGTCGTATTTCGTATTGATTTTGGTAAATGTGTTATTATATATTTCTATAAAGCACATCTTAAGTAAATGTCAAAAATAGTATTCACACTACACCATTACTATATAATGCTCTTACATATGAATTTTATAAATTTATTAAAACAAGCAGTCCTTTGTAACTGAATAATTTTCCAACTCCTTTGAAAATGAGTACTTTCAAATGTTTGAGACGAGAACTAATACTTTCCTACATTGAAGGTGAAAGTAATGAATCGACTGTAGAAACATTTTTATGAGATTGTCATGGTCTTTGGGGGGCAATTCACTGTCTGCAGATGCAGAGAAAAAAATATCAGTGCTAAAATTGATGGACAACTCTAATACTATCCAAACGCTAAGCGATCAAAAAGCATTAAATGTATTTATTGAATTGGACCTGACCAGGGCTCAATATTTATATTTGAAGAATATTATGGATGAATTATTTCTTACTACCACCTCATTACAAAGTTCCAAAAAAGTAAACAGAACTTGAAATTTACAAACACAAGTGCAAAAATGTCATCAATTTATTAGATCACACAACGGCGAGGTTATTGATGATAGACAGATTGCGTGTACAAAAATGGTTTGAAACAGTTGGTTTTATACAGTAATGGGGATGTGATGGCTCGCATTCGTCGCATCTGTGCCCATCAGATTAATTGATGAAACGACTAGTACTGTTGTTTAGCAAAATCCTGCGCCTTCATCCGTGAGATTCTATCGCCCTATTTTAATTGAGTTTTCGAAAGAAACTCCTGAGAAAACTAAAGCTGTTGTTAACGATACTCAGAATCAAATTGATTCTTTGAGTCCATCGTTGATTGTTAAGGCAGGCAATGGCGTTCAAGTTAAACATTAACTTTTTTTGACTATGATAGACGGCAAAGTAGCTCAGGTATTAAACGACACTCCTTCAAGTTCAACATGTAATATTTGTGGTGCTACTCCACGTCTAATGAATATGTAACTGCTAGGCCCGAAAATGAAAATCCTTTTCGTTATAGATTATCAACACTGCACGCCTGGATTCGCTGTATGGAGATGATTTTGCATATTTCTTACAACCTTTTGTTTCAAAAATGGTCAGCTACGAGTGACGCAAAAAACAAATGAAACGAGAGAAGAAAACTATGGTACAAAGACGCTTTCGAGTAGAGCTTGGATTAATAATTGATAAACCACGGCAAGGAGGTGGTAATACCAATGACGGTAACACTGCGAGAAGGTGAAGATGAAATTTTTTAACGAACAGCGACTCTTTGTAATCCTTCAAGCTTTATAGATAATGATAGATTCCCAAAAATTTGGGGAATATGCTTTGGAAACTGCAAGAATATACGTCAGTAAATATGATTGGTATTATATGCCATCTTCGGTATACAAAATATTACTTGGTACTTGGTGTAATGGGCTGGAGTTCACAACTCGACGTCAAGGCACCTATTTTGCGTGTGGCACAAAATATTAATTCACGGAGAAGGTATAATTAATCATTTTGCAGTGTTACTTATCGGACAACTTTCAGAAGACGATCAAGAAGCTCGTAATAAAGACTGCAAAAAATGTAGATTACAACCACGCAAGAAAATGCTCTAGATCTGCAACAAATGAAGATGTTTTTCACACGTTACTTTGTACTTCTCATCCATTTTAAACCAATTATCGAAAACGTTATTTTAAAAATTGACAGCAGCTTGACGAGGAGACGCTACGTCTCTTGAAAGTGGATCAACTCATCACTGATTCTGAAAAATACATTATATTACAGTAATAATAGGCCATAATAGAAGAAAGAAGCTAGAGTCTAAAACAGATATTCGAAATAATAACAAATTTGCTTTCATGTTTTTTCTTGTCGTATTTTTTATTTTATATAATTTTAAGTTTAATTTATAATTACATTTAATTTATTTTGCGAATAAAGAGTTACCGTAACATGTCATTTCCATTTTTTTAAAAATAAATATTGGGTAGTATTTACCAGAGAGAGATTTGTGATTTTGCACATTTTGTCTCAATTACGGGAAGTTAAATAAACAGGTTTTTTTTCCAATTCCCACTATAATAAAAAACTGAAAGGTGTACCTCAAAAAACAAAAAAGTTACAGATTTTTGATCCGTAACTGACCTAAATTTCCCATAGCTCGCTGGTTTGAATCCAACCGGATCGAAGGAATTTTTCTGAGTGTTCGTTCTTTGTATTAATAATTACAACAAACTAGAGAGTAATTTCACAAAAAATTACTATCATGGTAGTAAAACATAGTCATATTCGATGAACTTCATAGACAATCATTCTCAATTCTTCAATACTATTACAACAACATCAACCCATTTATATGTCCCATCGAGTATATAACCATACGTCCCTATCAGGCGAGGGTACGTCTCGATGGCCTAATGCGAGTTGGGTACTTTTTGCGACGGTTGTCAACCTTCGACATGCAGGTTTCATCACGATGTTTTACTTCACCGAAAAACTCATAGTAAATTTCGAATAAAATTTCGCGCCTACGAGTGTCATGCCAAAAGAAATTAGATTTTCAAAAATTATAGAATATTCTTTGTTACAGGTATTGATTTTTTGAAAGTATTCACCATGAACACGTATACACTTTTCCATTCGTCTAAACCACTTGGAAAATATCGATGACCACTCTTCTTTAGACATCTCAGAAATCTCCAAGTTATAAGCAACCAAGGCATCTTCTTTGCTTTTAAACTGCTTGCCTTTTAATTTTTCCTTCATTTTTGGAAATAGGTAAAAAACACAAGGTGCTAGGTCAGGGGAATATGGCGGGTGAGACCGGATAGATACATTTTTTGAACGTTCGAGAAATAGTCGAGTGTTCTAGCAGCAGTGTGGAGCGGCGTTGTCGTGATGCCAGAGGAGGTGCCGGATTCCTGACGTCGGCCGCTTGTCACACCAAGCTGACAACACTTTTGGGCACAAACTATTACATACCATTCGTAGTTAACTGTCTTTTCATTCTCTAGCACTACAGTAGCAATGTCTCCCGTCATGCAGAAAAATGAGGCGACCATTTGCTTCGGTGTGCTTCGTGTAAGACGACATTTCGTTGGCGTTGGCTCATCTTGAAGGCATCATACAGTGGACTGTCGCTTTGTTTCAGGATCGTAGTTATATAACCATGTTTCGTCACCTGTCAGTACATCATAAACGTTTTTTTTCTCGCTAGCGTTGAATTTATCTATCATAAATTTGCACCAAGCCACGCGACGTTCTTTCTACTCATCGTTATGTTTGTGCGGAACCCATCTCGAACAACGCTTAGGAAGAGATAGTTGTCCGTGAATAATAGTTTGCAATGCTGCTGATCCAATGCCCAGTTCTCGCTCAAGCTCTACACATATGTAGTTCGTCGGTTTTTACGAATTACTTTTTCGACAGCTTGAACGTTTTCTTGAATAATCGCGGTTGGCGGCCGACCTGACCTCGCCACGTCTTCAAAGCTTCCCCGTCCTCTTTTAAATTCAGCAAACCAATTGAAAACTGTAGCTCATGAACAAGCAGTATCACCAAATGTTATGGCTAAAAGTTCAAAACATTCTTGCGGGTTATAACCTTTTTTGTAGTCATAATAAATCATAACACGATTAACACGAAAATCACGTCGAGAGAGCTCCATTGTTGCGAACAAAATTCCCGCCAGATTGTCTCCGAAAAATAAAAAAATATATAAAAAAGACTTCGATTTAAGACGTGTTCCATCTTCAAGTTTATTAGCAAATTACCTTTACGACGGTGTATAACTTGCCAGTATCAAACAAGTGATTAAAGAGTATCTAAGTTCTTTTGACATGACCCTCGTATTTATAAAAAAGGAGCCCTACTGCTAATAAATACCATGGCATTCATAAATTGAAAAGATTTTACGTTTTATTCATACATAAAGTGAAAGCAAAAACTTTTAATGCTCAAAAATTTTTAGGCTCAATTTATGAGTATATTGCGGCGGAAGAGAATGGAAGCGAATTCTTGTAACGATATTGTAAATAGCGTAATGAACTTTATGGTAAATTTTGTAATGTACAAATTACATACGAGCCAATATCTTCCGCGGAATACGCGAGCACTTTCAAGATCGCAAGATCGTTACAAAAACCGCCTTCCATTTCGTTCCGCCGCAATATAAATTGAGCCAAAATCTTGATATAAGATTTATTTGTGAGATTCTAAAAGTTTGTAAATATTATACGAATAAACTACAGTGTTATTAAGTATTTATTTTTCCTTTTTTCAACCTCCTCGCAAATGTGACGAAAAACATTGTATGCATGCCACAAGGGCGGAACAGCAATTTCAATGTTCGGGCCATTAAAGGCCAACATCGGGCATGTATTCGTAATTGCCTAATTACCGCCCTTGTGACACGATGTACTCTTTTTTTTTAATATAAAATGTGTTATACTTACATCATCTATGTTAACTTTTTCATTTTCCATGTTCTTAGATCTGAAAATAATAAAATACATATTGAGTTGTTCGGTTTTCGCGATTGTTGGTCATTGGGAATGAAACTATTTTTAGTAAAGGGCCCGAAATGTTGGTTTGCTTGAAATAACAAATATACGCGCTTTAGGTCCGAAAAAGTAGTTTCATTTCCAATGACAAAATACTTATAATAGGTACCAATTACGAGTATAATGGGTATATATCATCTAACCATTTATACGTCCCGTTCCTGGGGACGGGCCTCCTTTCAGGCGAGGGTTTAGGCCTTAGGGTTTAGGTCTGCCACGCTGCATCACACATTTTCCGAAGGTTGTAAACCTTCTTCGACGTGCAGGTTTCATCACGATGTTTCCTTTACCCGTTTGCGTATGTGCATCAATGTGTATATGTATCAACGACAAAACGCAGTTTCGTCAACGGTTAGTGTTTAATCAGATCGTCTGTTCTTTACACTAACTAACAACTACTTTAGGGAACCCTTAGGTACTAAAATACCACACTGTAAACCGTTTTATTTCATTACTGGCAAATGCTGATAGTTACTATGGGCACCAGAACATCAGAGCCGTTATTGTCATTTGACGTTAATTACAGACCAAGTTTCAATAGTTTATAAAATTTACCATGATGGATATGTATAGCCAAGACATAGCATATTATTGCAGAGGCCGGGAAGAAAGGGCGTGCTGCACAGGTACGAATTACAATTAATTATAATTTATTTATACGAGGCAAGCAATCCCCGTTCCCGCCGAGGCATATACAGGTATAAATTTCAGACTGGACAGCAAGGCCAGCTACCTTAATCGTTGTAGTTGCAGGAAAACGGTTCTAGAAGACTATCCATATATTATACATTTTCTAATACAAAGTTTTCATTTAAAATGTGTGGCAAAAGGTTTTTTGTAATTTCTGACATTTCGAGTACTCTTACCTCAATGGGTCCCATAGAGACTATTGATCCTTACCAGAGACAGAGACAGATCGAATGGCATAAAAAAAGTTTTCTAAAAATTGCCTTTTATCTTGCTGACTGTACCATTTTTTCAAAATCTGTGAATGCCAATCAAAATATCTTCAAAATTCATGGATAGTCTTCTAGAACCGTTTTCCTGTAACTACAACGATTAAGGTAGCTGACCTTGCTGCCTGTCTCAAATTTACACCCTGTATCACTATACAACAATGCGAGGAAATAATAAAAGAAAAGAGAGAGGAAGGTGTATAATTTAAAAAGTAAAAAAATAATAATTAATAATAAAAGTAATATTTGACATGTTAGGACAATTGCTAAAAGAAATGTTATTGATTTGCCAGGCACATTAATAGTTGTCTGCTGAACTTTTGATGATGTGGTTGAATGTGTATCCATTAATGTATTTTTGCTATCGTTCATCTCACTAGAACTCATTTTCAACACGAAAATAGAAAAAAAAAAAAAAAAAAAACAACGAAAGCACTTCAGTTTAATTAATATTTTTAATTATCGCAATTACGAACACTTAAAAGTTGGCTGTTTGAGCGTTTCTTTTGCCTGTTTACATAGTTCATAGATAGATTTAAAAGTTTAGAACAGCGGACAGCAATGTATTTCAATACTTATTAAACAGGCCTTGGCCGGGACGAAGTCGCACGGTCCTTACGTGACAAACTTTCCATCACAGACTACATAAATTTCCATGTTCGTTTTTTGAAAGTAATACAAACATTTCCGAGCATGTTTGAGAAAAATATTATTTTATTGAAATAAGTCTTTCAAGCCCCTAATAACTATGTTTATAAGTCATTTCTTTTAAATATCAGTTCAAACGGCACCAGTTGTCAAATCAGAACGCGTAACGTCATTTGTAGGTAAATAAATTAGACAATATCGTTGCCTTACTTTCTCAAACTCGTATCTCAAAACACAAAGTTACTGAAATGTAAAAATGGATTGTACCAATTTTACAGGCTGATTTCACATTTCCTTCATATTTTACAATTTTTTTTTTTACTTATTATTCAAGTACTGCATCTAAATTAAAATTTTTAATAAGAAATTTAAAATAAATAGAAAGTTTTGTCATCTCCTGAATAATCACTCTTTATAAGATACGACTTTGAGAAAATAAAGCATTGATATACTATTTCCATTTGCGTTCCAAATTTTTTAGTTTTTAGTTCAAAATAATTAACTGAGAAAAAATGCAAAATATGTGAATAATAAGTACGATGACATTTTTTGCTCACTCACTGTGACGTCACATGGTGTGTTTGGTGTTTACTTAGCAAATTAAAAATATTTACATTTTCAGAATTTATTTTTGGTTTAAAAATACAAATCATGATTATTTCACAAAAAAATCAGTAGAATTATCGTTTTTATTATAGAAACATATAAGATTTCTTATTATCAGATATAATCATCGATTGTCTATTAGGTCTTTCAGACAAAAATATACAGTTGAATTTGTTATATTACCTAAGCTTCTGAGGCAGTTGTTTCTGCAACGAAAGGAACTGTTGTCTCGCTTCGGCTCTCGCTGGTTTCGGTATATTAGATGGCTGGTGTATGCCGTTCGAGTCTTTGGAAATCTGCGATATCAGTGACGAGGACGGCGTTGGTTGCTCAATCAGACTTGCATACGCCAATTTGCTTTCTTCTGTTAGCGTCGACTATGGAAAATTTTAATCAATAATAACAATAATGGACAACTGAAAGGGAACATGAAGAAAAATATACACCTAGGCATGGTGTACATATTTGTACTAAGTGTATATTAATATAAATTTAACTCATCGAGTATATAAACAAAAATAGAGACGCAATAAGGGCCATCCATCACTGGCAACTCATCGGGTAAATTTGCTTATATCACTTTTAAATATCAAGTCTCGTTTGAGTTAAAATCACAAATTAGAGTCCAGTAAGATCGAAGGAATTCTTTTTTGTGCTGTTCGAGTTTTCAACAATATCAAAATTTTTAAAAACAACAACGTAATTTAAATAAAAAACAAAAATGTGGTTAAACTGCGTAACGGCAATGGTCCCTTAGAGACATATGTGCAGGTAACGCACATATTACAGGAAAGACAATTTGCATATATCACGACCGTTCAATTATAAACAATTCTTTTTATGACAATAATTAAAAATAAACATGAAACTTAGCAACATATAAATTATTAGGCTGCCACACTCTAACTAGATTGCAAAACTCTAATAAGATTGCAACACCTTAACTAGATGCAATATTCTAACTAGATTGCAACAACTAAACTGCAACGTTCTAACAAGGTTTATATTTTTTGTATGAGATGCCTTTCCCTGTACTACCCATAACGCAATAAACAAAAATGAATTAAAAAACACGCAGTGTTATCACAGATTTTTAAATATCGTCTTCGCTTACGTTTATAATTCAATTCAACGCAATTACTAACCTGTATATCAGGTACACTATTTGCTTCTTCGCTGAAATTGCGCCGTTCTTGCTTGCCTAAAAATATAATTAAACAATTAGGGCAGCCCGACTTCCAAATCGGATTTTATTCAATAAACTCATGTAAATATATTGTTAATTATTTATCTCAAGAATGAGAATAGGAAGAGTTGATAAATTTAGATAGCTATAAGTGGTGCCGCTACGTGGCCAACCGTGACGTAGCCAAAATATATTTAAGTCGAAAATACATCGAGTACGCATAATCTGTAAACTAATAAGATCTATACCTGCAGGGTTACTTTCAGGTTCATTAGGTGCGCTGTGGTGGTGTAGGTGAACAAGAGGGAACTTGAAGTGGAACTTGGACTTTTCACTTGGAGAATTTGGCAGTTTGGAATCAGTGTCGAGATCGTTCATAGACCTGCAATATGTAAAACAAGTGTATCATTAGCCTGTTTAAATAGCTCTTCAATTATAAACTTTATATGCCAACTGCTAAGGAAATACTTTTAATTGATTAGTTACGTATGGCGGTGGTATGATACCAGATTTCATAAAAAAATAAGGCTTATTCAGATACAGAAACGGCACTACGTAAGTAACACGGAATATTTATCTTCTTCTTAGGGTTCCTCTTCTATCGAAGTTTGTACAACATCTTGGCATACCCTGAGGAGGTTGCCGCTTCAAAGAGCGAGGTGGTATTGCAGCCGAACTATTCCCTCAAACATTTTTCAACCAGGAGTGTCGCCTTCTACCAACACTTCGTTTTCCAGCGATTTTACCTTAGACGATGTGCTGGAGTAATTTGTATTTATTGTTCCTCATGATGTGGTCAAAGTACGACATCTTCCTGCATTTAATGGAGTGATGAGATCTTGTACATGAACAATAAAGATAAATTTTTAATTGCAATCGCGAACTGGCAAGCAAGAAAATTGTAACGTGAAATTGTTCAGAACAAATCAGATTAACAATGCAATCATCAACTTCAATAATACTCGAATAAACAATACACTTACGTGAATGATAAGGAAGCATTAAGAATTGGATGTAACTTGGGAAAAGATCGGTGTTTATAGTGTATAGACATTGACTAAAATATAATTAATTCTCTGAAGTTTAGCCAGCAGCTACAGTGGGTAGGTGCAAATTGCTTAGGTACATCTTGAGGATGCCAAGAGTACATATACCTTCGAAGCTTGGGACTTGAGAATATTTATTTTATTACAGGTTTAGACACTACAACATTATTGCACTGTACTGTATCAATAATTGTTATTGGACATATTTTATGAGGATGTACAAGTATGACGACGACTTCCAAAATGTCACATGTTTTAATGCAACAAAAAATGTTTAGTCAGATACCCAACAAAAGCTACTCTACATACACTCGGTTTGCTTCGTCTAAATGTTGGAATGACATTGAAACACAATAAATTCAAATGACCCTCAAATTCAAAATGTCTAATTGTCTTGAAGTCTGCCGGCTGCTTTGGATTTGAAGTATTTATTTTTATTTCATGAAATACCATATTTATAAGTCTGAAGTTCTTCAGATTCTTAAATACGTTCATATTCTAGAATATGACGAAACCCTAGCCCCCTATATAATTTGCTGTCCATTGGACATTGATTCAACCACACGTCACGTCACTATTAGTGACGGCTTGTAACTTGCAAGAGAAACATAACAGCAAATGTTCTCTACAGCGACTAACAATCTTTAACACTGACTCAACAGGTTAACTAACTTGGTAGTGATCTCATTGGCCATGGCACAGGCAGTGTCGAGGGTCTTCTGGTCGTGAGCCGACATCGGCTTCATCGTGCCGGTGTGGAAACCCTTTTTCTTCTCATGCTTCAGCGTTTGAGACCTGCAAATACATATTACATAACAAATTACAATATTCATATTAATTTATCGAATACGATTGTACCATGTCATCCATATATGTAGCATATCATATCAACAAAACACCATCTCTTATACTTTAAAATTTATTTTTTCCATTCACAATCGTTTGGTTGAGCGAGACGGTGAAACAATACTGGTCGGGATTTTGTTAGGAGTATTTTCGGATAATCGTTAATCAGGTGATCATAGCATAGATTATCGTAGCTGTGTGGCACATTTATTGTAGCAACTCACGTGCTCTATTCAGTACCATAATATCGGTCACTATAACATTATACAAAATTAAAAGAAAATATTACCTCAGAACACTATCGATGTCAAAATGTTTGCACGTTGCATTCTGAAAACATGTAAAATGTTAAGATGATGTCTTTAATTGAAATGCATGAAATATATTTATAGGTAATGAATAAAGGAAATGTATAAAAGACTACGTGACGTCCAAATTCATTAAAAATGAGCTCTAAGTATTGCGCTGCTCTACGTAGTATATTTTACATTGTGAAACTACATGTAATGTATGTATTCCACGATATGAGAAAAGGGTGTAACGTGAAGTGAGCATATATGTACTATGTATGGATGTATAATTTAGGATTTCTATACATCGGTGTATAAAAAGGTACATACATTGGTGGTATGAAATTTACTTAATATGATAATTGTGATTTATGAATAAAATACTTAACAAATGTATAACGCAAAATACAAAGCCATTTGAAACACATGAACACTAATTACGACCTGTCAAAAAACTGGTTTAATGTGGACTCGTTCAGAATAATTGACTTAAATTTGAAAAAAAAAACAAAAAACAATGCAATAATTGCCATGGATGACGCATGACTGGCACTATACATTTAACTACCAGTTGCCAGATGTATGTAAGGAATAACCATAAAGTTTCTAAACATTTAGTAACTACATACAAGCCAATTAAATATTTGTGTTTGAAGTTATTTTTTTAAATATTCTTACCAATGGTCCGATACGTGAACTGCACCTGAATAATAAGTATAAAAAACTTGCTAAAAACTTTCCAGAGAATAATTAAATCACGATCTCCTTTGGTACCTTTTTACATTTATTTTATTCTTAAATATTCCTGTTAAATATAAGCGCTTATTGTGATCTCTTCGTCGAAAAGGACGTCCATAGAATACTTGTTGTACTGAAAAGCGACATATTTGAGTGGGTTTTGTAAACGCGAATACACCATACACAGATTAAATATGTAAAAAAACAAAAACCAACGAGTTCGTTGGTCGTTCTATGGTAGCACACACGGCCGCAACTTTCGCGCCTATTTCTTGTATCTATGAAAACTAATAATACGTAACCAATGAGGTTACAATGTGAGCCTCCGGAATAAAATTGGAGGTGGAATTGTTTAGAATTCGATAAGGCAGAAAAAATGTTGCAAATTTTTATTCAATACTCTTCGAATTTCCAACTCAATGAGAGCATGCGTTTATAACACGCGGAAGAGAACAAACCTGCACTCAACACTACTATGACTTAATGGGCCCGTTCGGACAGAACAAGTATTATTAGTGTGACAGTCCTGTCCAGCGGAAGCACAAATGTATTTATTGTTATATCACGATCGTTATCATTGTAAATAGTTTGACATAAAAAACCGTGTCACGGGTGTCATGAACAAACACACACGTACACACGCACGCACGCACGCACGCACGCTCGCTCGCACGCTCGCACGCACGCACGCACGCACGCACGCACGCACGCACGCACGCACGC